AGCTACCCCTCATTTTCGGCTGTTATAATAATTGTGGGACACCCTGTTTAATATATATAATATATATAATATAAATATAATATAAATATAATATAAATATAATACAAATATAATACAAATATAATATAAATATAATGTAAATATAATGTAAATATAATGTGAATATAATGTGAATATAATGTAAATATAATATAAATATAATATAAATGTAATATAAATATATTACATTATAATATATTTACATCCATATTTAACATCCATTTTCATATGCTCTATCTATCATTTATTATATTATTTGTGTTACTGTTTCAAGTAGAGGACGCAATCAAACGGTATTTCAGAATAGGTACGTTTATTTTATACATACCAGATTTTTGTTAGTCGTGACCCAGTACCTTTTTCACATTTGACATAGCGAACGATGAAATATTTGCGAGTGCCTATCGTTTATGTAGTTGTGCCAATATCTACACGGCAAAGCCTGCGTACACAAATACAATCCAGGGTCAGAGGGGAAACCATTTCCACTTCATGTTTCACGGGTCGACCTTTCGTCGGTTGTTAATAAATGTGGATAAATTGCCACTCGTACGAGAAAGCACTCTTCACTCTATGGAATGTAAACTTTCCAAAGAATATTTGTGTTTCTCATTATTCCGATGTTTACGCTGTAAACGTATTTAAATTCTGTGCAACGATACAGCCGTGACAGTAATTTATTTAATTTTTAAACGCGAACATTTCTGATTACAAATTTTTCTTATTCTGACATTAGTTCCAATATTTCTTCTACTATCGTGTCATGATAAAAAATGAGTTCTATGTTTCTAGGTACGTTTATACTTATCTTTAACTCACTGTCTTCGTATACATTCCGTACTTCAAACAGAATTGTAACTTTATTCCTGCGAACGTTAGAAACCCCTTTCGCACGTAATATTTTTAACGAAATGGAAATGCTTATGGCGATAATGTTCATTTCTCTGCACAACGAAGGATGCTGGCAGTTTCTTGTGGAAATATAAGTGAGAATGCTAAAATATAAGCTGGATTTAGTATCTCACATACGAGCCGTTTATTTTGAAAGTGGCATAAGTCACTTTTTCAAAACAATCGAGTTAATGGTAACACTAATTACGATTGAACGGTATCTTTTCATTTTAAACAAATTTGCAATCAATAAGCTGAGAACTATTGAGATTTGTTCGAGAGAAGTTTTGCTAATTAACGGTATAACAAACATGTTTATTTGGAAAGTGGCGTAAGTCGCTGTACTCAGGAAATTAATTGCGGGGCTTAGTGTAAAAGAAATAGAAACGTGCGATAAGGGTGTGTGTAGCATCGTTTTGAATTATTTTCAGTATTTTTAAAAGAGTTGTGATCACACTGAACTTATTTTTATAAGTGCGAAAGAATAGTACAGTTTTCTAAATTATATTATAGCGATGTGGCGGCTACCTCCAGACCCGCCAGCAGATGGCTATAAAATGTTTTATAAACTAACTTTAGATGAAAAAGATGAATTTCTAACTTTGGATTTGTCGCCAAAAAGAGGAATACCTAGGCGTTATTCACAAATAGAAATGGATCCGTTAAACGCTGGATCTCGTCCTGTTTCTTCAGCAAAATACAAAGACATGATGGACTTGCTTAATT